ACGTGCTAATTTCTAGACTTACATATTAAGATACTAGTAGAAATGACTCGCATACATAAATTTGAATAACTTGGATTGACCAGTCCCCGAAAGCAGCGCCTGTTCACAGACATGACGAGTGAACCAGCCATCGCTTCACTCGACCATATTAGAGGGAATGTAACGACCCGCCTCACTACGCCACCACCCCAGAGACATTTTAGTGAGAATGACAATTCCAAGTTATCTCTTTAAAAAAAAAACTAATAATAAAGCTAAGTAACAGTCCAGATTGAGAAGCATGACACTATAACATTTGAGAAATTATTATTAGTTTATACATTACTTTTCATTTTAATTCTTTTTAGTGCGAGCATGAGAGGACCATAATCCTACTCCCAGGATGACTTATCATTAAGAAAATCTCGAGTTGTATAATAGGCTTTTTTAAGCATGTGATCTTTAACTATATCTTTAAATTTATTATACGGTAGCTCTTTATATTTATCAGGGACTTTGTTATAAAAATGGATACCTTGTCCCATAAAAGTAGCAAACACTTTATTAAGTCTAAAAGCGGGTATAGCCAATTTATTTTTATTTCTAGTGTTAATTTGGTGAATATCACTTTTCTTTTTGAATTCAGTAATATTTTTTTGAATAAATAGAATACAGTTTAAGATGTATTGTGAAGCGGCCGTGTTATTATTATACTAACTGCACTCGAAAGGAAAGTGGTTGACTGCCACAATTTACGACCGAGCCGTGGTCTGGCAAAATGCGCCTGCGCCTATGAGACACGGTAGCGTTGCGTTTTCAGTTTATTACCTCGCAACTGCGTTTTATTACACGCAGTCAAAATACTCGTCACTTTCAAGTCTGTGTAGAAAGAAAAAATAATTATTATAGTTATTGCGTGCATTTAATTGCTCATCAAAATAATAAAAATCTATAGCATTTAGAAACCAGGCCTACTCCAACGTGAAGGTTTTAGACACCAGTGGGCTGAGTGTGAGTTTACATCGAAAAAAAAAACTCACACTAGGCCCTCTGTTGACAGACTAGAATTATAATAATTAAAAAATAAAAATTTCTCCATGGTTAGTGGTCTGTGGCGATAATCTAAAGCTGTCAAACGACGATCGACTCCTGCGTGCGTCTTGCGACGTTTGCCGCCGTAATTGGCGTCAATATCTATTAGATATTTTGTGAATTATTAAGAAAAATATAAGCCAATTAAGCATCCAGCTCTTTATTCATTAAGTTATTGCTGCTATACTGTAATACATCAGAATCGAATCTTAAGATTAATGATATTCTTGTATCAATCAAAGAACATCTAACATCGTTATTTTTGCCTGGACAATTTCTATTAAGGAATTTTAGAAAATTTTGTCTCGTTAAAAAGGAATTTTAGTGAAGAAAGATTTTTCTTGTTGGCGTATAAATACCGTGTTTATGATATACTTCGCGTAAATGTTTTCCCAATTGGGTGTAGACAGCGCGGCACTACAAAGCGTTGCGCGCGTTTTGCCTCTCTCTCGCGATCGTGACATGAAAGTTCTCGAGAAATTCACAAATTTACGACCTACGTATTGTAGTTAGTTGGTTATTCACCTTCATAAATATTGAAGTTGAGAGTTACACGATGTGCGCAGTCGCTTATTGCTGTGTGACGTGTCGTTATTTAAAATTTGGTCTATAAGTACTGAGTGTGCAAAGAAACGAAGTCTCTGTGGCTGAGTGAAAATATTTAGCTTAGTACGAGGGGCTAAAGGGAATATTAGTAATTTGTGCAATACAAATTACTAATAATCTTTAAAAAATCTTATTAAGGCATGTGATAAACCGGTCGTTACAAAAGATGGAGATTAATTATTACGTACTTCCCAGAAGTTAAGTAAGTAGTAGTTTGACACTATAGTTATGTTTTGAGCTTTCCAACAATAGAAGAATGTGAGTGATCAGCCGAAACCTTTAAACCTAGCTAGCTAGCGGTAATATGGCAATAACATCATATTTTTACAGCTTTTCATAACATAAGTATTCTGCATTTTTGTATCTTATTTTGCTCGCTTCTGCTTAGTGTAAAAACTATACACTCACAAATAAATAAGCCACCGTATACGGCTTACATAAAATCACTCGCTACAGGCTATTAATATGTATTATGATAATGTACGGGCGTATCAATAAATCTCTAAAGCCATAAACACAGTCATCAAGCACCAACAATGACCCGGTTGGCAGCTGATAACAAATACTTTTGAACAGTCAGTGCTGACGAATTTAATTTAAAGGCGCTAGGGTTGACACAAATCATTAGGGTTGTTAGACAGTAAAGTTTTCATTTGCGTGTCTACTATAAATAATTCCAATCAAATGAGGGATTTTTTAAAAGTTACCCCTTATGGAGTTGAATCAGGGGTCCAATTTTTAAGGTTATTTCTGAATTCATCCTCTAAAAGAGGGAAAGTCAATGTGGCTATTTGTATAGTTTAACCGGTCGCTAATAACAAAAACATTACTCGTTATAGACTTATTTTGACAGATCAAGATTTACGCCGGCGAAGTAGCGGGCAAAAGCTAGTAAATATATAAAATGCAGTAGCCCTATGACCGGCGCGCGCGCACGCGACATCCGCGCGATAACCGCCATTGTGCTCTGGAACTGGAGCAGAAATGGAAACTGTACCTACACGATACTGCTCCTGGCATTGTCACATACATAGGCAATGTTGTTATGGCGTGGCACATTTGTCTAGCCCGTTTACCAGCGTTGAGACTAGGGACACTCCATTTGCCTCTAAATGCCTCTAATAATTAGGATATGTGTGTAATTAGTGGAACGTCCACCCACAAGGTGGACAGACGACATCGAAAAGGTAGCAGGAAGGCGCTGGACGCAGGCCGCTACTTTTCGGCAACATGGAAAGCATTAGGGGAGGCCTATGTTCAGCAGTGAACGTCCTATGGCTGAGATGATGACGATGAATTTTAGGACATGGACATTCTCCTGCAGTGGAGACTGTAAATGACAGGTCATGTTGATAACAATGAATGGTAATGGTGGTGCTGCACAATGGTAATGGTGGTCTTATGGTGTCTTCAAGACATCTTCTTAAACATAAAATTACTTAATAAATAGATATTTGAAAACTTTTTTGGATCATCAGATAATTTTCAGGAAAAAAACAATCGTGACCATTATCGTGACACTGATGTGTTTATCTTTTCAGTTTATCATGAAATCTAATCGCAGTCGATGTCTGTTAACCATAATACTATCATTTATATTTAGATAACCTATCCTAAAGTATTATGTATGAAACTGATTCATAGTTTATAGTTTAGTTTAGTTTCTATTGATATAGCCTCAAAATACATTAATATCTTTCTTTACTCGAGTCCATCTAGCAGAAAAGTATAGATCTAGTACAGTTACAAGAATAAGACGTAAACTGGTGAAAATTATGCAAATCCATGTTTATTTTGTAACTAGCGGCCGCCCGCGACTTCGTACGCGTGGATCTCGTTTTACCCCCCCTTCATCTATCTTACGCGGTTCAGATTTTTTCATACAATGTTTTTTCCCGCTAACTCCCGTTCCCGTGGGAATTTTGCAATATCCTGTTGTAACTAAGCTTTAAGTTTACTAAGGTACCTGCATGCCAAATTTCAAGCGTCTATCTTACGCGGTTTAGATTTTTCATACAAATGTTTTTTCCCGCTAACTCCCGTTCCCATGGGAATTTTGCAATATCCTGTTTTAACTAAGCTTTAAGTTTACTAAGGTACCTGCATGCCAAAATTGAAGCGTCTAACTTAAGCGGTTTAGATTTTTCATACAAATGTTTTTTCCCGCTAACTCCCGTTCCCGTGGGAATTTTGCAATATCCTGTTGTAACTAAGCTTTAAGTTTACTGAGGTACCTGCATGCCAAATTTCAAGCGTCTAACTTAAGCGGTTTAGATTTTTCATACAAAAGGATTTTCCCGCTGACTCCCGTTCCCGTGGGAATTCCTAAGTATCCTATAACCTGCCCAGGAGTATGAAGAATAATTGTAGCAAGTTTCGTTAAAATCCGTCGAGTAGTTTTTGTTTCTATAAGGAACAGACAGACAGACAGACAGACAGACAGACAGACAGACAAAAATTTTACTGATTGCATTTTTGGCATCAGTATCGATCACTAATCACCCCCTGATAGTTATTTTGAAAATATATTTCATGTACAGAATTGACCTCTCTACAGATTTATTATAAGTATAGAAGATTTCAGTGACAGACCAAACTTAGTGTCTGAGTTTCTCTTGCTGCTTCTTCTCAGCACTGTTTCATTTACTGTCCCAAAACAGTGGTAGAGTTAATACTGGGTGTAGTGACTATTTAAAAGCCTACTTGCAAATTAAATGAGTTTTAAGAGTGCAAAGACGCGGGCAAAAGCTAGTACTTTCATATGTAGCTGTATCAATACATTCTGACGTTAAAACGTCAGTCACGACACGCTCCACTTACAGTGCGCCCATTTATTTGATTGTCTGGCAGATAGCAATTAGACACGTTCGGATGTATAATCGGTTGTTGCTCGTAACGTATTCATAACTGATACAGGTTGGTAGCGTAACTGATAAAACATTGGCAAAAACTATCATGAGTAATAGCTCCAATAGTATAACGTAAACATAGAGCGTTAATAGTGAGAGCTAATGTAAACGGTGTGTTTGCATAAATAAAATATTTGTATTTGTAATACATATTTTTAAGAGCCAAGAGCAATTAGATGTATTAAAGTAACATTCTGTATGTTTAACTTGTGAAATGTAACATAAATTATCTTTACATTCACTTTAAGTGAGATAGGTAATATCTAAAGCATCAAACAAAACTAAGTATTCTGCTTAATTCTATGTTTTCCATGTGGTCTACATTTATTGCAAAGCACGCCTACAACACTATTTTTAAAAAGCAAAGGAATGAAATTTCCCTTACAACTAGAAGTTAACTAAAAAGAAACTTACCTTATTTAACTACTGGACTAATAAGAATCCCCTCAAGTCATCAACACCTGTAACAATAAAAATATCATCATGAATGTATTAATTTAGCTGGATGGTTCCTATAGACCAGTGTTTTTCAACCTGTGGGTCGCGAAGCCTCTATAGGGGGGTCGCAAGAGGTCGTAACAAACTACCTCGATTAAAAAACAGTTAAGTTTTAAAGATAGATTAATCCAAAATCTAATTATGCGAATGTATAAATGTTGTACGGATAGAAGACTTCGGTGCCTACAACATCTTTGTTACAAAGAATGATAAAATGCATGAAAAAAAGTTTTTTTCATACTAGGGGGGTCGCGTCATGAAAAAAGTTGAAAAACACTGCTATAGAGTATAAGACCACAACACACCCTGTCTTCCCGAAGATGCTGCAAAAGCGAGGGAAAATTATGCGAAAATCAGGCTTCCCCAACCCGTCTGGCCAACGTGGGGAGTGAGGACACATCCCCCATTTGCCTCTAGTAAATTATAAAGAATCGTTCCTGCAGTGAAGACTAAATGACCTGAGTTAAAATTAAAATTAAGCCACGATAGCCGAATGGTGAAGGGGTCGGACTGGCCGACTCGTGATCCGGGGAACGCGGGTTCGGTCCCCGCCGCCGCTCGACTATTGTGGTGAGCTCACTCGTGACACAAGCATATTTAGCTTAGTACGAGGGGCTAACGGGAGTATTAGTAATTTGTGTAATAACAAATTACTAATAATCTTTTTTTAAAAAAAAAAAAAAAAAATTACGTAAGGTACGGAAACATAAATAGCTTGGTATGCACATAATTTATAAATATTATTAATTTTACACTCAATAAACTGATGCCAAGTTCATAGCGAAATGTCGAAACATTTTCACATTAATAAATTATTAATTGCAACAAAGATTAAATTGATATGAAAGTTAATTGATAAATAAGTACCTACGTGGGTAAGCAGTTAGTGCAACTAAATACCTAAGTATTATGAAATAGAAATGTTCTTTTACTACACAGAAGTAGCAACCTTTTCTGTTTACAAACAAAACTGATTTTTCTTTAGAAATTATTTGTTGTGAATTATGTTATCATAAAATTAAATCAGTGTTTTCAATCAATCATAAATAAACCGTTTCCAAATGGCAATGCCAGATTTTGTATGGAAGGTGGCGTCTTTTTTTTTTCACGCGGCCATCGACCAAACTTTGTTTTTTGATTTCAAAATAGTGTTTTAAACCAAACTTACTATGGCATGTATACCTCTAAACTCAGTCTGAACTGAGTTACGAGCATTAGAAGTTTAATTATTTTCATACTAGATTTGCTTTTTGCGCGCAAGTTTTGTAAGAAATTGCAACAAAATATTGCGCTATTTTTTTATTGCGCTGATTCTGCTGCATACTGATGTCTGGAGCCTTTAATGGATGGTATTGTTTGTTTACACATACAATGTCATTATTTTGTTGCAATTTCTTACAAAACTTGCGCAGAAATCGCAGTAAAGAACCATAGACTTGGCACGACTTTGTCTAGATTTCATTACTTTTTAGAGATAAACAAGCAGCTCCATCGAGACTTGGCTAGTTTTTTACAGAATGTTTTTGGTGGGATTTCACTTCTTTTTGTAGAATGTGGCATAATTATTTAACGTCGTCGTCCTTTAATATTATCGTCATTTTTTTTACGATATTAAACACATCTTTAAAAAGGACAACGAATCAGAATTGATTTAATAATAACTAGAGGGGAAAAAAAATCTGGACACCGCGGTGCAGAAAATCGACGCTCAAAGTGCTAGCGCCATCTAGCGGTGAGCGGTACAGGCGAACACCACGGCGCCGGTGTGGCGCTAGTAGTATTGATTATTATGAATGTGGTGTTACTCCAGATCTTCGATTTTCCTAGTTTTTATAGTTTTCCCTTTATGTGGCCATTAAACCCTAACTCTGTACCAAATTTCAGCTCTCTGAGTTAATGGGAAGTACTAGTTCTATTTTGATGATCATCAGTGAGTGAGTGAGTGTCATAAATGCGAAACTTTGCTTTCGCTTAACTTCGGAACTAATTGACCTACAGACTTGAAATTTTGGATTTTAAGTGTGTGATTATAGCTTACTAGATGACGAAAATTTCTGCGTTCTGGTCTTATCTAAAGGTTCTCAAATAGAGGCCCGAAAATGCGGCGAAATGGTTCCAGTAAAGGATGGTACGGCAGTGTTTGCTTCGCGCTCGACTTGGCGGGGGCACTGCCGTGCCCCCAGATTTTCATGCAGGCAGAACTGTTACTTAGATATTATAGATTGTAACAAGTCCAAACTTGCACGGAAAGTTAGGTTTGTATTCTAATTTTCCGTATTTGTTTGTGGCAAGTCGGTCAAATGGACGAAAACAGGAGCTGGACGGAAAACCGGCGCAATTACCCTACGTCATTTGTAATAAGTGAAAAAGCTCTATGTTATAGGTAGGTGCTTCTCTTTACCTAAATGTAGAGCGATGTACCTACTCTTCGTTCGTTTCAGCCGAATGACGTGCACTGCTGGACAAAGGCCTAAGGTTTTCCACAATGAACGGTCCTGCGCTGCCCGCATCCAGGCTCTTCCCGCGACCTTCACCAGATCGTCGGTCCACCTAGTTCCTAGCTCCTAGCTCGTGGTCGCCACTCGAGAACTTTTCTGCCCCAACGGTCATCGTCTCTACGAGCTATGTGCCCCGCCCACTGCCACTTGATGTACTCTTACTCTTACTTGTACATAACTTGATTTTCTAGTAGTTACGAGTAGTACCTACTAAGTATTAACAATTGCCTAAACATTACATGTAACTTGCATACGGTTACGGTAAAAAATACCTATCAAACTCGGGCGCCGAGTGCGAATGTCAATTCTGTAACAAAAGCCGCCGAATATTAACAATGCAAATTCTAAAAATGATGTAACCCACGTGAAATATCGAGAAACAGGCATTTGTATGCAAAATCGAGACTTCCCGTCCACGATTTGTGTCCGATTCGTACGTGTAACGTTCGGAAAACGCGCTTGCATAACTCGAAAGCGTGGCGAGCTTGACAACGCGTGTAAGTCGGCCACAATTATGTAAAATCATTGTAAAATACTGTAAAAGAGCCAAGGAGGTCGAAAACAATACGGTTCAAAACATTTTCAACGCTGAAGTGGGAATTTTTGGGCGGATGCAAGTTACAATGGATTGCACAGCTCGCCGATAAATGTATCCGGCATTGAGAGATTACTGATACGAGTACTTTTTGCAGAAAAACATTATTATCTGCATATAAAAAAATGTTATATTAAAATTAAAAAAACCCCTCGTTTCAGCCAAATGACGTCCACTGCTGGACAAAGGCCTCCCCCAAGGTTTTCCATAACGACCGGTCCTATGCTGCCCGCATCCAGATTCTTCCCGCGACTTTCGTGACAAGTTAAACCCCTCGTGGTAAGTTAAGTATGCACAATAATAGTCCAACCACGACGGCGCGTTCCTCGAATCTCGATTCAGCTAGTCCGACACCTACATCGAATAATATTATGTAGAAACTACCGGCTAGTACTAATCGTAGTTAACATTAACCGTAGATTGCAAGCGAGCTAAAATCTGTCCTAGTTTAAGGAGTTAGTTATTATTATTTTTTTTAATTCAAAACGAGGAAGCTCTTGGCCTGCATTACAATAGTTTAGCGGTCAACGAACTAATTAATTACTAATGCTAATTAACAAGGACTTGATAATACATTATTTATGCTTTTAATTCGTTGATTATATTATCTGAAATAATCGATCAAGCGATGACTATTGCAGACACAAAATCATCGTTCAAAATGTAGAGCACGGAAATTTTCAGTAACCTTTCTTTCAAAATAAAACCAGACAAATACAATTTATTAATTGTTATCAGACAAATACAAGACAGGCTGAGTTGCACCACCTACTTTGACAGTAACTATAACGATAACCGATGGTTTTTGTATGGAGATTGACAGATTTTTGACGTTTGTTAAAGGTAGAGTAAGATGGTGCAACCCAGCCTAAGTCGCCCATTACGTCTATAGAACTAAACCTACGCACACAAAAGTTGTTTTCCACGAATCTTATATCAAATAATCTTCTAGCCAACAAAGCTTTGTTATCTAGTTTATCAAAGAAAAAATAGCCTTAAGTCAATTAGCGATAGCCTTTAAATTAGTTTGTCAACAAATGTATTTAATAGAACAATAGAATAATAAAGCACGCACAATATGCGTAGCATGACGTCAATAACCGCACCTATGCGCGACTCTATTTCATTTGCATAGAGTCTACAATTGCATAATCGCTAATGAATGTGTATTGTAGGCTTAAATTGGAATTTAGCTGGTACTCGTTACAGATGCTTTTAATACAGTAGGTTCACTGTATGTACCTACAATCGAAAGAAAATCAAATGATCGAATACAATTCATTGAAAAGTCAAAAACATCGAAGGTTCAAAATAATATCGAATTGTTATTAATGAAATGAAAGATCACTTACTACATCAAAGATTTCCGATCAATTGGCATTGGATATAAGTAAACAAACTGTAAAAACTCACAATTCATTTGAACAGTAATGTGACTTAGATGTTGTAATGTAGAGCTTACGCTGACAAAAATATTCTTTTACTATTTCTCGAAACTGACTGACTGAATATCTGACTAATATCATTTCATTTTTATTTTCTTGATAGCTAGATCAAACTTACAGGTTTTTCATCTCATTATAGCAATGCAATGAAATTCTACAGCATGACGGTTTAAAAAAGTAGTACTATTTCACAGCGAAGCTCAACAAAAATAGTTACTTTGAAAGTATGTAGAGGTCAGGAAAACCAGTATATAAGCATAGGCCTAGGCCTACTTTATAAAGCTACACTGTGGCCATTTGCCGCGCCAGCCTTGAACCTAAAACAATGGAATGCCCACGAAAATGAAAGTCAAACGGGCCGATTAGCGGCGCCGATAGTGTACAGTGGAAACTATAGAGCACGTGCGGACCTGACTTTTCGTAATTGTAGCAT